GAAAAAAGTCTGGAAGAAACACTGCTACTGGTTATATATCACATTTGTTTACTGTCAAGTTATATAGATGTAATTCAAGCCTGCTATAAAGTATTTCAAGGTTTGCGTAAGACCTCGGTTGGTGATGGTGAGTAAAAATTGTGATATAGCCAAACAAACACGAAACTTGCATGAAATTCATTGAATAGGTGTCATTAACATACAGTCCACCTTTAACATATTTTTTTTGTTATAACATTCATAAAATGTAATTCATTAGAACTTACTGCCGCGTTTTTTTTTGCCCTTGATATATAATTAAATGTTTCTTTTTTCCCATAAAAAATGATGCACATGTGTTGATTTGTCAAATAGAATGTGGTGTACAGACTTTGTTTTATTTTTTTATTGTTTCAAGCATATAGAACAACAATTTCTAAACGTTGTTTTTCTAAATGTCAAATACATAGATTTTTACAATATGAAAATTAATTTTCTTTAAATTGATATGTACCAATATACTTCACTGATTCAAACATGTGTTACAACATTATTAACAGCCTCGTATTGGTGAAGTTCATGATCGTAGACCTCTTCAACGTTTGCATAGCCATCCCCCACTACAATGTTTCTGTTGTTAAAATGATTCTGGAACTCTCCGATTCTATCGTATCTCCCCTGACTGGAAGAATGATTCGACTTATTTCTATTTCTTGGTATTCTACATTCTCTGTCATTCCAGATATATGTTTATTGCTCGCGCGTTTCATTCTACCGATAATTAAGAAAACAATTACACATATTGGTATATCAATAACGGTGCCAGGACAGAAACCGACAATTGTATTAGTCTTTGTACCTATATGGATAAGTTCCAGCATTAAAGTTGACCTAGGTGACTCGTAAATTGTCTTAGCAGTGCGTGTTGCTGTCGTTGAAAGCACATTCTTTAATATTGAATAGGATGTCAAGTCATCAACAATCATTGTAGTTGTTTTTTGAGTGATTTCATCTTCATTGTACAGCTAAGTTCACATGTTTTATTTAAACGAACTGGTGACCTCCATTCATAAGGATATCCTAACTCTGGCCATATAGTTTGTATACATGTTTTAGCTGGCTGCAAATCATCCAAACTAATGATAGGTATTATGTTTGCATTGATAACATTTCTGCTCTCGTCTGTTCTCATTTTAGTGCACGTGATATTAGGGTTTGAGAAGCTGCAGTTGTATAGACATGAGTATTCGGATGATTGTGAAATACTTATATTTGAAATAATTACAGGCAGTTCATCTAAAAAGATGCATGAGTAATGTACCGATAGTGTTGTATTTTGTTTCAGCATCTCATGAAATCTGTAATAAAAAATAAAATTTGAGGTAAATTTCTTTCATTTTAACTATAAATGCTATTATGCTGAGTAATATCACTGTTTGCCGGTTTCCCTTTTATCAATTTATCCTTAAGTTCATGTTGTAAGGTAATGTAAATTTTATGTATCAAATTAAAAGAAAGATAAGCCATTCGTTACCTTACGTAGCTTGTATGATTAAAACCGCATATCACATTGCTGCTAATATCCTTTATATATAAAGTGAGCACTAACTCTCCTTGCGTCGTATACAATAAGGTTACTATCATGATTGGTAGCAAAATCATTATTAGAAAAATTAAATATTATATTGAAGTTCTTATGCTTCAGAACTCATGAACTAATGCTATTCTGCTATAGACGTAGTTTTTATATACACCGAGTATGTTTCAGTTTAAAAGAGGAAGTTTATTACAAACTATGATTTACCTGAAGTTTCTAAAAATAAAGTTGTATATTATTCAGATGTTGTCTCTAGTAGAAATCAGGTAAACGAGTATTCATATTTTTCCCTTTGTGCCCAATATAGACGGGACTGACAACTTTTTAAGAACTGCTTTCGTTTCACCGACTTTCTTAGTAATCGTACATTCTGTTTTGAATTCTGTAGCGGGTTTTATTTATACGAAATAAAATCGCAGGTTTTATGCGCAAACCAAACTTGCAGAACCGGGATAACAGCTTTTGTCTTACCCCTACTCAGTGGCGTAGCGACGGGGTGGGGGCGGAGCGCACCGGGTGACACCATTTAAGGGGTTGACACCAAGGCAAAAAATAGCAAAATATATAGAGAAAAATGATAATTCCACTCAAGTGATTAATTCGAGTGTTAAATAGTCTTTTAAGAGGTGCAAATCGAAAGTTTGAAGGGGGGGGGGGGGTGTGGCAAATCGAAAGTTTGAGGGAGAGGTGCAAATCGAAAATCGAAAAGTGTGTCCCCCAGAAGGGTCGCTACGCCTTTGTGGGGGGGGGGGGGAGTGAAACCATTAAGTGCCGCACCGGGTGACACCCGACCTCGCTACGCCACTGCCCCTACTCACGCTGATCTTCCCAGCTTGCTTGAACCTAACAGGTTTTTACTTTCCCGTTTGTATAGATTTGGAGGTTTTCGGAATGTACAATAAGTAATATGTATTTCTCAATAACAACATAATTGTTCATATTTATAAGCCATACCATGTCTTTTCAGCTTCATAAGGTCTGGTCAACATAATTGAAATATACCACATGATCTCAACATTAATAAACTGATAAAAGAACTCAAAATTTATTCATACATGTATTAATAAATATAAAGCTGGAAAGCTTTCCATAATCTTTCTTGTATATTCTCAAGTAACAGTAAGGGTTGAGATGGTAATTTAACTTACGATAGCACCGTTGGTTTTTCTAGACGACAGCATTTTCTGCAAGCCACCAAGTATCATGGGATGGAGACCATGTGATATAGATAACCAGTGTTGTAGCTACCGTAAAGCTAGTGTAAGCAAGGGATTGGGGCCAAAGGAACAAATCGGCCTTTTCCCTCATGAAAAAAAAAATTGCATGATATTTTAAATATGCTTTGTATTAATAATTTAAAAATTAAAATGGAAATCCAGTTTGTTTTCTACTGTATAAATAATTAAAAGTTCCAAAAAAGGCCTCCAGACCCTTCTTCCTGTATGGGCAGTCGCATTCAGTGGAGGGGGTGGGGGTGGGGGGTAGAGCAGTACTCATCCGTATTAAATAACACTGCGTTATTGCATTTTCGGGCAAGCCATAGAGAGAATTAGCCTGTAAATAGAGTTTAGCTTTGATTCTTTCGTGAGATTGGCACCCAGCACCCATTAATTTACACGTACCCCTTAAAAACTCAACTAACTGGGAAATTCCATACCCCACCTCACAGAACTATACCTTCCTTACAACTGCTCTCCCCCGAAATCCCACGCTACAAAACATCCATGATAACAAATGTGTCATTAAAAAAATAATAATGTTAACCACGGACAGTGCTTTCGCAAAAAGCTAAGTGCAACATGTATTAATATTTCTCTAGTAATTTTTACCCTAAAGTCATTTCATCTGTTAATCTAATTAATCTCTTAACAATCTGGCGCAACAAACAATATACGTAAAGCGGTGCAGTTTTCTATGTAGAGTATCTCCAGCGGCTACTTTGCACCTGGGGTCCGTCTCTGGCGCAGCAGGTCAGCGCAACACCTAGATTCAATGATTAAACTGCACTGGCGCATCAGCCGGTGCCGCAGCAGCCGAGTAACCATGTGCGACCCGGGTTCCCCTATGAGCGCTAAGAATCCTATATTCGTTTTAATGAGCGCCATACACTAGTGATACGGAGGGATACTAAAATCGATTACTAAATCGAAAAGGGGGTCCTCCAGCACTTCAGCACTAGTATCGGTTGGGCGCCCCGAGTTACCCAGCGGCTAACTGAGTGCAAGGGATCGGTTGATTGCGTGTCCTGCAGAGTCAGAGGTGCAACTTATTCAACAATTAAACGGCGTAGGGATAGCACCAAAACTAAAAAGTATTCTAGAGACACGATGGGCCTCAACGTTCGAAAAATAATCCGGAAAAAAGGGTTGCATCCAGCTACCTACGACGCCTATGACACCTAGACGTTCGCAGAAATATAACTTTTCAACCGCGCCTAAGCGGATATGTAAATAATGCCGCGCCCAGCAATGAAGATCCAAAAAAAAATAGCAGTGGTGTCATTTAGATTTTAACTATCTAAGTTTTAGAAAACACTGCTAAAAATACGCAATTGGTAACCCGTTGATAAAATCCTTACAAATTGTATCGTTACCTTGGTATGTCGGACTAGATCGCAGCAACGTGGACGGGTACACTAGTTACATATAAACATTCTTGAGCATTCCAGAGTGTTCGGAAAGAGATTTCGATGTCTATGGTGGGATTTTTTAATCTCATTATTTGCTCATTTGTATGATGTTAATGTGCTATCCTACAAATTTTAGGTAGGAGCCGACCCCCGGCGTAGCATAAGCCACTAGATTGCCCTCACGTCCGTGATGTGATCCACAAATTACATGCCCAATATAAAGAATGGATATTCGACAGTTTCGATCTGTCACTTATTGTCCATATTTTTACAGATGATAAGTCATTTTTATTAAAAAAAACGATCACTTATGGTAATATATGTATTGTATTGCTATCTATTGTATACAATAGATAAACTTTAAACACTGCATTGAATATAGGGCTGGTAAGTAGGTCACCAACCAGTTCTACGGCTCAATAAAACCTACATGAGCCATATAATTGGTTGGTGATTTACTTACCAGCCCTATAGAACAAGCCTGTACAATTCCAATTTGAGTAATAAAAAACGATCGTGTTGACATCAGTTTTATATCAGTATAGATATTATCATTTTTTTTTGTAACAACATATATAAAAATTTAAATAAACAGCAACTAATCTATTAATTAAATCATACATTAATATGTGTCTAAAAACGCTAGCGAGTAGCTAGCTATAAAAAGAAATCATTAGAAATTATTTTACAACTTTTTTGTTAATTAATGTCTTATATTATAAACAAAATATTATGGATCATTATTTATGATGATGACGAAACGTTCCAATAATAATTCAAGTCCTGTGTATTAGATGGCGCAGTACACACAGTTTGGTAGATGTGTTCATCTGACACACTCTCATCCGTACTGTGTAACTCAGTTAAATTTATGTAATTGTCTAGTCCGAGCTTAACGTTAGGTTCGGGAAGTTTTTAGAGACGAGAAAGGCTTTCAAGGTCTCCAATACGGTCATGCATTAGAGTTTCGGAATTTGTGGTTTGTGTGGTATTTTCTTGGATGGCTTTTGACCTCTCCTGTTGAGACCAGTTCCTTTCTTTTATATGTTGTATTGTAAATATGATGACAAGCGTAGAAATACTTGTTACTGCCAAAACGCAGGCTCCAATAATGATATACTCAATTGTGTCGTCATTGTCTATAAGCTGAATCGTGGTATTTGATCTCATCTGTGTTGATAAAGGCTGATTCGTTGTGCTGAATTTAACCGCTGCTGATAAATGATGATTTGTTGTATTGAATCTTACTTGCTGATTGGTTGAATGGCTACTCATGGTTGTTGTTAAAGGTTGATTAGTTTTATATTTCCACAATTCGCAAGCTGGTGTACAAGGATTTATTTTTAAAAAGTCTTCAATATATTTTGACCAAAACGTTTCTATTTTTGCACCTGTCCACACAGTCTCAATGCATGTGCTAACATTGCTTAAATTAAATACATCAAAAAATGGAATACGTTGTTTTCTGTTTTGTTCAGCCTCGTTAACGGTTAGTCTCGTGCATATTGAAGGCCCAGATACCCATCTGTCACATTCAAACAGGCACGAATACTTCGTAGCTTCAGACATGTTGAGGAATGAAGTTACTTTAAGGCCTTGAGACTCATGTTCAGCTTTTAACGTAGTACTTTGGTTCAGTACCTGAAAAGAACTGAAGAAAAATAATTGTAAATTAACTAAACAATATTTTACCCTCAGTTACATAATATCATGATAATTTGTGTACAAAACTAAACATTTTTTTAAAAACTGCTCCTCCAGACAGAGTCGAAAAATGAAAAGTGACTTTGAAATCAATTAACTTTGTATACAACTGCTTATGTGTGTATGTGTGTGTCTGTGCATGAGAGAGAGAGAGAGAAAGAGTTTGAGAGAGAGAGAGAAGCGGTGGAGTTATGAAAACAATAACCATTTTTTTTGTTTAATTACTTTTTGTTTAAACCAACGCATTGAACAATAGAAAAGTAAAATTCAAACCGACATTACACTGCTTTTACCAAATTAAATTGTACTAGTGTTGTCTATGTTACTTTAGAGAAATGGATTAAAATTAATTTCATGTCGGTGTTTAAACTAGATTGTAAGTTATACTCGTAAAAATATAGTTTAAAAAGCATACTGCTTTGTCTGGACCATGAACTACGTTTATAAAGTTGTGAAAGTCACAAGTGAAATATAGATAGTTACATTACACAGTGGCGTAGCGCGGTCGGGTTTCACCCAGTGCGGCACTTAATGGTGTCACCCCCCAGAGGCGTAGCGACCCTTCCCGGGGAAAAACTTTCAATTGTCGATTTGCATCCTCCCTCAATCTTTCAATTTGCACCCCCCCCCCCACCCCCCCCCCCTCAAACTTTTGATTTCCACCTCTTAAAAGACTATTTAACACTCGAATTTATCACTTAATTAAGTAGAAATATCATTTTTCCCTATATATTTTTCTATTTTTTGCCTTGGTGTCACCCCCCTAAATGGTGTCAACCGGTGCGTTCCGCACCCCCGCATCCCCCCCCCCCCCCCTCCCTCGCTACGCCTCTGACATTACAACATTAATATTAATTAATTGTTGTTTAGCCTTGTCTTGGTATGATCTGGTATAAAATAAATAGGTCTACTCGGTAGTGATACTTACCCCCCGTAGGACTGGGATACCCGACCAGAATAACCCAGTATCAACACTTACTTGTAAAACGAGACTCTATCAAAGGAAATAGGGACTGCCGCGCCATCTTCTGACTCATTAACTAGATCCAGTACATAATCAAACTGTCCTTCAACACTATACATTGCCAGAGAAAAAATAAGCCACAGAATATTCATCGTCTGGAATGCTCGTGCATCTGTTAAAATGAGGTTATAAACATTAGTTAAAATTACTACCTTCTTCTTCTTCGTCGTTCATAATTTTTAGTGTTGGAGAGGATCGAGCCTTATCTGCCAGAGGGTTTGAATTCGAGACTTTTTTTCGAATTTATCAACCAAGAGCTATTAAGGATACGTGTCAACTGGTCATGCGCCATTGATGCCATTGACTCCGATTTCAGCCTGCTTTTCTTTTTGGATTTGCTTCCATAGCCTTTGTCTAACCAAGAACAAACTACAATGCAGCAGTTGTTTGATTTTGGAGTTGTCTCTCCTAGAAGAGTGGCTGTCCCCAGCTAACGGGCCTCATCTGCCCGAGGGTTCGAACTCGTGTCTTTTTGGTTTAGCTACCATGAGCTTTTCCGACTCGACCACGCCGACCCCTAAAATACTACCAATATGCTTGGTAAACGTAAAAGAAATAAAACACATTGTAAAAAGCATAGAGATGATGGTAGCTGTTTAGGAAAATAATCTAGTAAAAAAAAGTAACTAATCTCCGTAGTGAACGTAATGTTCTTGATGTCATGTTTTAAAGACGTTAAATGACTATATAACTCATCTTTGATTAAAACAAGGCCTAAATTAAGAGAATTTAGTTTGTTCTTACGCGCAACATGAACTGTAATAAGATTGCTAATTTTATGGCATTTACTAAAAAAAATTAAAATATTTCCTAAAAGTTGGTAGTTATAAATTAATTTGGTATTATCCCAATGTTGAAGAATTCACATCCACTATTTTAGAATGATTGGACTACGTGGCTTAGCGGTAGCAAGTTAGACTGCTAACCGGAAGTCTCGATTTCGAATGCGGGTTGAAGTCAATAGAATTAGCCCAGCCAGCTCTGATGGGTACCTAACTCACGTTAGGGAAAGCAAAAGCGGCTGTCTATATAGCTGACCACACTATCTCTTCATACGCCGAGGTCTCTGAAGCTAATTAACTCTACTTCATCTGCTCCACGTGTCTTGGACAAGAACGGGAAAAGATTTTCATGATTTTACAAACACCGAAATCATCACTACACTTGTATATTTAATATTAAAACATGTTTCTCTTAAATGCAATAGCATGGTACACATTGTATACATCTTATATCTACTTCATTTAACTGGTTAACTCTAGCGTACATTACCTGAAGCCTAATACACCTCCAAAACGTGTTTGAACCATTTCACATTGCTAGGCGCGTCGATAAAGTTACGGCAGTGAAATGCAAACGGAATCGATTTACATAATTTCCTACGTCGCCTAACCATGCGGGACACCTTGAACGCTCGCCGACCCTCTAACCCTCCTCCCGCCCCTTCCCTCGCTCTCCAGACATGTGTCTTCCTGTAATTCTTCACCCGTCACTAAATAGCGGCGTATGGTACGCCGCGGGTCGGCTCGTTAGCTACCTATAACGCGAACTAGGCCGTCGCAAAAATGTGAAATCGCCATTATTATAAAGTACATAATAATTGATAACTTTGATTATATTACATTAACTATATACAAAGGCGTAACATTTATTGCGTAACACCTTGCGCGTTGGTAAAATGCGCCCCACCTCCGTCATTTGGAAAGGTTGGGGCGCTTTTTTACTTTCTCGTATATACGAAGTATAGAGAAAGTATAGTAATCGTGCAAAAAAAAAATCGAGATGTTTACAAATCTCGACGTTTTACACCTCACTGTTACGGAAACACATAATTTTGAAATCTTGTTCGTATGTCTGTGTGTCTGTGTGTCTGTGTGTGTGTCTGTGTGTAAACACGATTGTGTACCGTTACAGCTAGGTTGATGAATATTCATATATAAGTATTTTATCAAAATCGTAGATCCGTATCAACTTTTCAGCGATTTTCAATAACCGGAAGTGGTACTTTTTCTACTTTGAATTTTTCAAAAGCCTATAAGTTGAGTACTATTTCAGATAGATAAATGAAATTTCACATGTAAGTAAAAGATCTAATTTTCTATCTTTTGTCACATTTTGAGTAATTTCCGTTGACCGAAAGTACTAATTTACGCTATTTCCGATTTCTCAAAAAACGCAGGTAAATTTATAAAGTACTAATAATATTGCGCACTATTATGCACATTTTATTAGGCGTTCACTTAGTGTGCAATTCTTCTTTTTTACGAGATTCCATTCTATTATAAAAAGTTTAAGTAATTAAAAATGGATTACAAATATTGTCTATGTCCTGAGTTGCCATCCCTCGTAGTTGTATATTAGAATATCCGAGAAAGTTTAGGGGAGATCACTCCCGTTTATTAACTTGTGTTTATTCCAGATTTTTTTTCTCCGGGGGAGGGGGGGGGCACTTGAAAATTTCAGGAGGGGGGGGGGGGTCGGACTTGAATTTTCAGGGACACTGTATAAAAAAAGTATATTTTTTCTATATAAATTTCATTTCATTCGGGGGAGGGGTGGGGGGGGGGGGGGATAGGTAGAGATGCCTTGAAGAAATTCTGTTTTTAACAGTCACTTTGCCTTTTTATTTTGGTGTCACACAATTGATGTAGAAAACAACTAAATAAGTCTGTAATACCAAGTAGCAGTCCACATTTTTTTTTATTTCGACTGTATATAATTCAGTAATGTGCTCTTTATATTATTACCTATCACGTTTATGTTTATTTGCACCTTGATAGTCTAGTGGTTTTGTAAAAATAAAATACTTATCGATTGCAGCAGTGATTGTTTAACAGTAACTAAAACACACTGTTGCGTGGAGAGAAAAAAAAACTACATAAGTTGTAGTATGAAAAATATACACATCTTTAAACCACTTCTCTCCTTTAAATAGTCAAATCGGTGTGCCGATAAAACTAATTAAAATAGCTTTTTACTAAGTGAATTAAAACTAAAAATTCTTCTCTTGAGAATTATTAAAATTAAGCATCCTGATGAATGACTAAGCTATAAAAAGGAGTTACGCGGGAAACCATTTCTTGATTCATGATCTTTGACCAACATGTCAAAAAAGAAGAAACATAATTATTTTTATTATAAACTATTATTATTAATTTTCGTTGGGCGTAAATGAGAAATTTTAAAACTTAATTACTCCAGGCCAGAAATAAGTTCGAGCCTATTTCTGTGTGGTTTGTTATCTCATGATGGATACACTTAGCAAGGAAATGATTTAATTCAGAATATGTACTATGTGTAGAGCTGTACAATACATAATAAGGTAGGGAACACTTTTTGTTTTTAAACAGACTGTTAATCATAAATTAATTTAAAGACGTTAATTCATTTATTGATTTATTTGTTGGTAGATTAACCACATTAATTATAAAGGTTCATAACAATGACTTTACTTATGGTGACCTCACATTATTTATTTACTTTTCATAACAATAATGGCGACTTCCTTACAAGATTTTGTAGCCCATTTAATAATATAACGCATTATATAGCTAATTTTCTGGCGGCTATATCTTTAACAATACGTCCGTTTGCTATTTTTATTACGTACCAACAATTATATAAATTTTCAACATTCGTTTTCATTTAAGTATACAATAAATTTCTCTAAATCTAGAATCTAAAGATCAGATGTCGAAGGAAGTTATTAATACATCTAGAATCTTGATCAAACCAAAATTCATTAGTTAAAAATAAAAATCATTTTAAAATCAGAATATATTTTTGAGTTTCTTTATTAAACAATTTAGTCCTTAAATATTTGATATACATGTTTGCTTTTTAGCTTCACGATCCGTCTAATTCAAGAATTCAAGTGATTTATCTATGTAGGTTCTAGATCTGGACTAGAGTTACGGCAAAAACTAGAATTCAAAATTTATATTAAAATAAAAGGGTCTATTGGCGTAACTGGTTTCTTACTTTGCAGTACATTATAGTACTATTTCTACGTTAGTAAGTAAGTGCCTATAGAGCTGAGATGATAGTAGAATGGTTATCATTCACTTTTTTTTTTCAAAAAGTGAATGATAAAGTTGCCTATCGGAATCTCGTTGGATACAGGGTAGGCGAAGAAGAGTTCATCTGTTTCTATGTCCTCAGCATATGAAGGGATAGTGTGGTCAGAGCCATATTCGCTCAAAATTATTTTTAACCGATAAAAAATGTTGTCTGAGACTTAGCAGGACACTTGGCAGTTGAAGTAGAGTAGGGTAGGTGAATAGTTCACATGTGACGTCAGCATTCGAAGAGATATTGTGGTCAGACCCACGCTGAGCCGAAATCTGTGTTGTCAAACACAAAAACATGTCTGAGTTCGGGGGGGGGGGGGGGGGGCACTGGGCAGGTGAAGGTGAGTTGACCTGTTTTTGTGACCTCAGCATATGAAGAGATTGTGTTGTCAGACCCATGCTCAGGCGAAATTGGTGTTTTTAAAAGGCATTTAAAAAATTACATATAACTATGTATAACTATATATATATATATATATATATATATATATATATATATATATATATATATATATATATATATATATATATATATATATATATACATATATATATAAGCTGCATACCCGTGCTCCGCCACGCTAAATCTTTTTTAACTGTACTAACTTAGGAACAGAACAAAACTAAACACAACACAACACAAACACAACACAAAGCAACACAAACACAACACAAACACAACACAAACACAAACACAACACAATACAAACACAACACAAACACAACACAAACACAACACAACACAATACAAACACAACACAAACACAACACAAACACAAACACAAACACAAACACAACACAAACACAACACAAACACAACACAACACAACACAACACAAACACAACACAAACACAAAAATAAACACAACACAACAAAAGCACAACATATGTCTGGGGGGCCCAAACATATTTTTTGCGGGATGGCCCATTTTTTCTAGTTCCGCCACTGCATATAACTTGTTTCATCAAAACTGCAAGTTACCCCGTTTTTGTCATCACTTTTGAAAAACAACATTAGCACCTGAGCTCTTGCTGCACATAGCAGTTACACAAAGAAAAACGTTGTCAAAATCATTTTCCAATATCTCATGATATAATACGTGTCCTAATATTATACAATCATGTATGTGTATACTAAATGCACCTTCAAATATAAACCAGCTGTAAGTAAATCTGATTGGTTGTTTACGAATATAGGAAGTAAATATATTCGAATGTTATCAATACATCTGAGCTAATGGTTTTGAAAAGAACCGGCACAACAAAGCTTGGTTCTTTTTAAACGTGATGCTTTGTACGTTCGTGGGGATTTTTTTTCTTTAAACGTAATAATTTTTAATTCGTGGAGATTTTTTTTTTTAAACGTGATGCTTTGTAAGTTCGTGGAGTGTTACAAGAGTCATTGCTATGTTATGTTCAAGCATGTTAAAGGAAAATATAGCCGCAAAATTATTCCGAAGGGTAATTATCTTATCTATTAGCATAGGGACATAGAATGTATTATAGTAAACATACATGCATATTTGCAGAGAGTCAGTGTTGCGGTTTTTGCTTGTAGTTTTAACTGTATTAACGAATGTTCCTCATTTATTTAATAACAAAAATCATGAATATAACGTTCTACCATAGTAATTATTAGCCTATTCATTTCTTTGGATAGTCCATAAAGTTTTACACAGTTACTTAATAATGTATCTAATCTACAATTGAACGAATGAATAATTACATGCACTGCTATATAACCCAATCAGTTATGTGAGTAGTATATTAGGTCCCTTTTGATTATTATTTTTGGCGGATGCGGATGCGGAGCAGGAGCAGGAGCAAAGGATATATAGGAAAATACTCACCCGCCTTGGTGAGGCGGAGGTACAATTATATATAGTAAAATACTCCCCCACCTGGGTGAGTGGGTGAGCCGGATGTACAACGAGATAAAGTAAAATACTCCCCCACCTGGGTAAAGGTGGGTGAGGCGGAGGAGCCCGATGTACAACGAGATATAGTAAAATACTCCCCCACCTGTGTGAGCAGGTATTTCAGTAGGTCAGGTGAGGGAGTGACCTTGTGACGTAATCACCATCGGTGACCTTGTGGCGTAATCAACACCGGTGACCTAGTTACGTAATTTGTTTTTGATGAGTTTAAATGAGTTTTTAATTTGTTTTTAATGAGTTTAATTAGTTTAATTTGTTTGTTTTTAATTAGTTTGTTTTTAATTATTTTTTAATTAGTTTAATTTTTAATTCGTTTGAATTTTTTATTTATT